ACAGCAATATTTTCACTGATATGTCTCCTAGAGCAAGGGACTTAAAGGAAAGAATAAACAAATGGGACTTCATGAAAATAAGAAGCTTCTGTATGGCTAAAGAAAACATCAGCAAAATGAAAAGGGAACCAACTGTATGGGAAAACATATTTGCCAGTGATACCTCAATGGTTTGATATGCAAAATATAGAAAGAACTCACACAATTCCACTCCAGGAAGACAAACAATCCAATTAAAAAATGGGCAAAGGACCTGAACAGACACTTCTCTGAGGAGGACATACACAGGGCTCAGAGACATATGAAAGGGTGCTCAGGATCACTAGCCATCAGAGATATGCAAATTAAAACCACAATGAGATACCGCTTCACACTGGGCAGAATGGCCGTCACAAAGTAATCAACAAACAACAAGTGCTGGAGAAGTTGTGGAGAAAAGGGAATCTTAGGACACTGTTGGTGGGAACGCAGACCGGTGTAGCCACTGAGGAAAACAGTTTGGAATTTCCTCAAAAAGCTAAAAATGGAACTGCCTTTTGACCCAGCGATTCCACTGCTGAAATTATACCCTAAGAATCCCAGAACACCAATTCAAAAGAACCTATGCACCCCAATGGTCATAGCAGCACAATTTACAATAGCCAAGTATTGGAAGCAACCTAAGTGCCCATCAGTAAATGAGTGGAGCAAAAAACATGGTACATTTACACAATGGAATATTATACAGCAGAAAGAAAGGAACTCCTACCCTTCACGACAGCATGGATGGAACTGGAGAGCATTATGCTAAGCGAAATAAGTCAGGGGGTGAAAGACAAATATCATATGATCTCACCTATAAGTGGAACCTAATCAACAAAACAAGCAAGGACGAAAATTATAAACAGCAACAATGAAATAAAAAAACAAACCAACAGTAATCAGATGGTGAAAAGAAGGGGAAGGGTCGAGTCTGGGAACATGCATAAAGGACCCATGGAAAAAGCCAAAGTGGGGACAGATTGAGGGTGGGAGGTGGGGGTGGGTGGGGCAGGGGAAAGTGGTGTTAGGAAAATGGAGACAAATGTTTTGAACAGTAAAAAAATAAAAAATTAAATAATAAATAAAATGTTAGCGTCCTGGGTGAGTTAATTTTTAAAAAACAAAAAAGGTAAGTTATTTTATTTAGAAGTACAATAGAAATTATGTACCCTAATGGTTTATAGTTTGGAGTGCAGAGTTAGACTAAGTACAAGGCCTCAATTTACCAGCCTATTAGCCCTATGACCTCAGACTTGTTATTTAACCTTTCAGGGCCTCAGTTTTGTTTTTTGGATGGGGACTGTAACAGCTTCAAGCAATAACCACTCTGTTGCTAAGAGTATACTAATTTTGTTCATCCTCTTGGAGCCATGTTCTCAAGAAACTGGGACTTTCTCTAACTCCTGACAAAAAATGTTAATAATTCTAAACCAAGCCTTTTGGTCTCACTTCTCTTGACCATTTGGCCAAAGAAACATGAGAAGAGTTCGATGGGAAACCTTGGAAGGGACCATTTGTGTTCCATGTCTGGACATTGTCATCTGCATGTGACTCTTAGAACTTAGGCAGGCTTCTTGATAATAATGAAGGGGCCAGTCAGCCTAAGAGGAATTAACATACTGTAGACAATAGAGAAGACGAAAACAAAAAACCAATGATCTCATTCAGCCATTGAATTAACAAACCCTGGAATGACCCTCCCCCTAGACCTCTTATTATTAAAACACATTTTCCTTATAGATTATATACCAACCAGGAAATTATATAAACAACCCATTTGCTAACTGTGTAGGTTAAGATAAAATTCCATTTTGAGTTGTATTTTCTGTTATTTGCAGCTAAAAGTATTCTAGCTGACACACTATCCCCCAGGACTATTGTCTGGATTAAATTAAGTTTATGCAGTCATGCATATATAATTAAGTCATGTAAATATGAGTTTATATTGTGCTTTGCAGTGTATGGTTTGTGGAAAGTGCTCAACAAAAATTAACCATTAGTAATATTATGTAAGTCTTAGTTTGGGGATATATGTTGTTGAATAAGAGACTAAGAAAAGCCTTCCTTTGAGAAAAAAAAAAGGCAACAGAAAAAGAAGTATCTTTTGAAAAGGTTTACAAGAAAATTACAAAGCAAAGAATTCAGAACCAAGAGTACCTTAAATAGGTAGGCTACAGTGTAACCTCTCCACTACCTTCATCCCTCCCTTTTTGCAAAGACACGCTAGATAATGTGAAATAGATACCACCTAGGAAATTATATAAACTACCCATTTGCCATTGTCTAGGTGAGTTAAGACAAAGTTCTAGGTGTAAATAAAGTTGAATTATGCTACATCTTTTAAAGTTTTTATTTTGAAAGAATGTAATGCTAAGACAAGTACAATACCCATGTATCCTCACCCCAATTCATCAGTTGCTAACATTTTACCTCATTTATCTTTCTTTCCCCACTCCTTGCTCCTTTCTGAGGCAGAGTTGGACACACCCGTGTGTGTGTGTGTGTGTGTGTGTGTGTGTGTGTGTGTGTCCTTTGAAAGTAGGACAAATAGCATGAAAAGGCCCTAAAGCAACCTTTCTTAAAGACAGTCGGTTATATTTCTCTAGATCTCTTGCTGCAGACAGAGCTGTGCTTTGAGGCTGTAGGTTTCATTTAGAGGGATCAATTCTCTCCTCTGAGTGAGCCTGAACTTGCAGCTGCTGTCCCCATACCCAGTCTCCTGGACGTATAGCTGGTGCCTCTGAAACCACTGTGACCCTCTGCCATGAAACTTGTGTTTAGTGCTCTGACTTTGAATTCTCTCAAAATCATTAACAACCGTGGATTTCCCTTTCTTTCTTTCTTTTAAGCTTAGCTGTGTATTAACTTTGTGGCTATCATATATGGCTGGAAGTCCTACCTCTGGTCATTTATTCCTGTCTTTAACAACCTTGTTAGAAAGAATTCCTTATACTCAGCATAAATTCTTCAGTTACTCTTATGGCATCAGTAGTAGAAGTGGTAATCATGATAATACTAACAGAAATCTTAACAATTAGAGCTATTATAAGTTGAATACCTACTATTCTAAATTATCCTTACAATAACTTTATAAGGTAACAACCTGAATGCTACTAACAATGAACCTAAACTCAGCCAGGATTCAAAGCTTGCAGAGCTCTTGCCTACCTCTCTCCCTTTCTCCCTTACCCTTTTCCTTGTTCTTTGCACTTGGATACTAAGTTTTTTTTAACCCTAACTTTCTCTCTCTCCATACTTTTCTGCCTTCAGATAAGCTATCTGTACTCTCTGGAACAATCTTTCTCCACCTTTTTGCTGGGCTAGCTCCAACTCATCAATCTTCAGTTTAGACACTTTCTCCAAGAAAAAGGCTTTTTCTCATTTCTTCATATGGGATTTCCCTGTCATGGTTCCACTATATTTTGTCTCACTTTTTTAATCATTCATATTGGACGGTACTTGTTTACTGTATCTGCTCCCCATTACACTGTAAGCACAATGAAGGCAGGGACTGTGCCTGACTTACTCATTCATTCATTCATTCATTCAGCAAATACTTTAAATGGATACTGCAGGTAAGACAAAAACCTCTGTCCTCAATGGACTCACATTCTTGTGAGGAGAGGTCAATAAATGGTATCTTACATAGTGATAAATGCTATGGAGAAAATTAAAGGTGAAGGTGATAGGAATAAAGGGAAGAGGAGTTAGCAATTTTAAATTAGGAGGTCAGAAATGACTTCTCTGAGGTGACATTGAAGCAAAAAATGGGATGTCTTGGAGGCAAGACACAGAAATATCTAGGGAAGACCATTTTGGAGAAACTCAGCAGGTATAAAAGCTGAGGGGTATAAGCCTGCTCATTGTATTTATGGAGGCCAAATTGTAGAGGGCCCTGTAAGGACTTTGGCTTTATGCAAAGAGGAGGAGCAATTTATGATTTTGTGTGTGTGACATGATCTGACTTCATTTTACCCTGGCCACTCAAGCTGCTGCGCTGAGAAGAGGTAGCAGAGGAACAAGGGCTAAAGTGCTAAAACAGTTGAAATATGATACTGACTTGGACCAGGATTGTAACAGGAGTGGCTGGATTCTGGGTATCTTTTGAAGGTAGGAACAAAAGAATTTGTTAACAGATTCACTTCTGTGACTATACACCTGACACACTATAGGAGCCCTATAATATTGTTGGAAGAATGAATAAATGGTTCTGCAGTTCATGATCTTTACCACTGCATTATATTTCCTTTAATAACAACCTCAGTGTAACTGCTGAATTCCACACAGAACAACAGGTGATTTAAAGGCTTCAGAACTGGACTTTCATGTAAGTATAAGCTGTGCAATCTTAGGTATGCTACCCAATTTTTCTGGGTTTTAGCATCTGTAAAATGTAATCATATCTATTTCATAAGGCAATGGAGAAGATAAAAATATCCATATTTGAGTAAAATGCATAACAAATTATAAAGTACCGTACAAATCTCAGCTATTGTTGAAGACCTGGCTTCCAACAAGAAAACAAGGTTCACACTTGGACTCCAAAATCATTTGATTTATCTTCTCATAAAATTATTTATCCACCAGTGCCTTTGTTATGTACAGGTACCAGAGCTAGGTAGGAGAGAGTTAATTTCAAGGTAAAGGTCATTATTTAAAAATTCCTCAGCTTTCTCTGATCTGGGTCAAGTCACATGGGTTCCTTAAACTTTTCATCATGTTCTATTGTCTAGCACTTTGAAGCTTCCTTTCAAAGGTGAGAAGCTTGAACAGATAATACCCTTCCAACATTACATGTCATTTTTCTAATAGAATCTTAGGTCTATAATATAAACTTTTGATTACAACTACTCATGCTATGATACTGAATTAATCTGAATATGACTGTCTTACATGACATGAGTCAGACGACTGTAGTCATTACTGTGTAAAGTCATGGGTTTGTTACATCTTATCCTTTAATCAAAAATTTTCCAAACCTCAGAGTTGAAATATGATGACACTTGTTGTCTTGGATCATCTCTGCCTTTGTCACTTTTCTGTGTAGATTTAATAAAACCAGGTGGTAATGCAGGACCTATTATAGGCCTGAAAAATAAAATGTACCTTTATCATTTTCTCTGACTTTAAAAAGCAGTTTTCTGAATAAAATTTATATATGTATATAAATATGAAATGATAAAAAACCAGACAATAAATAATGTTGGCAATAAAAATTTTATTTAACATATTATTTTTATTCTATAACCTAGTATTTTTCCACTAAATATAAAAAATCTAATTTTTGCATTTTTACTCTATTTGTTAGTTAATGATTACATACTAAACCAGTAATTCTCAATTTTTATGTCAGTGGTACATACCTACTTCCTAAAAGAACTATGTTAAGTAAAAACAGTAATTAAAAAATAAGTCATTATTATGAACTAAAGCCTGTGAAGATGTTTCTCTATTTTGTGCCTTGGTTTTCAGTTTTGATATTCACTGTCCACTGAAAAATTCCTTAGGGGCATTATAATTATAGTCAGAACTACTTAAGCATAAACTGAATTCGAAGGACACCTATAGCACATGCATCCAAGAGATGTAAGCAATGTATGGTTACATGTGCCAAGATGGTATGAAAATCTAAGCCTTGTCCTCACTGATAATCCAGAAATGATGTGAAGGTGTACAAGAATGAAAATAGTTCATTAGAGAAAAAAGGAAAAGATGCTGTGCATGTCAACTAGTCCATCTTTCTGTCTCCATAAAAGAACCCTGTTCTGTATTAAGTCACTCCATTTTCTAGGTGAGCAAAATAATGCTCAAGGATAACACAAACTAGTAAGTGGCAGAGCTGGAGTTTGAACCCTGGTTTACTTGATGAAAAGTTCATTTTTTTTTCAAGCTTCTCTATTCACATTCTAAGGCAACTGTCATAAGCCTAGAAGGGAGAATTGCCTAAATTCTGGGTCTTAAAAAAAAGAAAGTCTTATTTCATATAGAGAAAAAATGAGAAAAGATATTTTCTACACTCTTTCACATTTTTAAGTTTTTTTATTCTTTGTTTCATACCAATGTTTTTCCTAGAGATGTCACTGTGCTGGTATTACCAACCAAGATGGTACTGAAGTCCTAAGCTAAATTTCCCAGATTGCACTGTATTCAATTAGAGTCTCACAGACAGGCTTCCTGGCAGAGGAAAAACAGTTCTTAAAGTCAAGTCTGAGTTCAGATCCTAGCCATTTGATAACCTCTTGTCTTGATTCATAAAACTTCTTTGAACCAAAACAATTTTGTATATAAAAAACAGGGAAATTTGGCATTGTCAGAGAGATCAAATTAGCTATCATAAGATCTAAGAAAGTACGACATTGGTTTTTTTTTTTCCTGAGTACAGTTTTTAGCACATCTACAAATGAAATTACAGCTCAATTCTCTGGCCTCGGGGAATTAATGAAGATAAAAGTACTGTTACATGCCATCTTAAAATACAGTAAAAGAAGATAATCATGACACGTTATGGCTGTATAAAAGGTTTCTGCCTACATTATATGCTACCACCTACTTATTTCACATATATTTTATTATTACCAATATATAATTGTCAAAAAAGAAACTGCTATACATCTAATAATTTATTTTCTTGAAAGGAATATTATATCCTCAGCAAATTTTCTAGAAAGGGCCAGATAGGAAAATTTAGGCTTTGAGGGCCACATTTGGGTCTCTGTTGCATATGTGTTTTTTATTTTTTAATGAACCTTTAGAGATCATTATTAGCTTGGGGGCCATACAAAATCAGACAGTAGATTGTCTATCCTTGTTACTTCCATAAATTAGGAGCTGGCAAATGTGATAATAAACTGAGTATAACGTGCACAACAGTCTTTTTTTTTTTCTTATACATTGGTATATAGTCTTATGTATTATAACAATTTGATGTGGAATTTCATATTCAGCATTTAAAAATTTTATAATTCCAAGAAGGTAGGAATCAATATTTACTATATGCTTACTCTGTGCCAGGCACCATATAAGATATACACGTGCGTTTATGTATATAAATATGAAATAAAAAAGTCTGAATTAAAAGTCAAATACCATGATTCTAGGCCTCAAGCCTACCACTTATTATGTGTACAACCTTATCTATTTACAAAAAGGGGAAAGAAGGATAATGTTCCATCCAGCCTACCACAGAACACTTTTGTCAATATTAAACGGGAGATGTGGAAGTTTTATAAACAAACTATGAAAGTATCATAAACATGTATATAATTATTTTTCTTAAAATTATTTAAAAGTTTATTTAACTAATTATTTTTATTATATGAATTCCAAATGTTATATAAAGATATAAGTAAATAAACAATTTCAGACAACTCTTTGATGAAGTGACACTAGCTGAAATACTTAGAAAAGACTGGCCTGAAATATTACACATTATCACCTCGGAGGAGAATCATCCTGCTTTTTAAATCCAGGAGGAAGGGCTGGTCCAAAAAATCCATCATCATCATCATCATCATCATCATCATCATCATCTTGATTTCTCCTCTGTTTTCTGGAAACACAGCAGTGTAACTTTGTACATATATGTCAAAATATTTTTCATAGAAATTATAATTTTTAACTTCAACTAGTTGTAAAAATACTGAAACGATAAATTAACCTTACCAAATAAGAAAAAAACAAACACTACAGTAAGTCTTTTACTAATCTTTTCCTGGAATTTATTTTTTACCTAAAATAGAGATTGGTTACTTTTTTATAGCAGTAATATATTGATTTTCTACATTTTTTTGTGGTGTTAAAGATTCCACTCAATGAAGTTTCAAATAGCAGTCTGCTTGCTAGATGTTTTTCAGCCAAAAAGTTTATGACTTGGCTTTTAATCTCATTTAAGGAAGGGTTTTATGTTGCTATTTGTCTCATAATCTTTAAAATGCATCAAAAAACCCTCACTATAATTCAACATCTTATTTACATGGGACTGTGGTAAGGCTAGATTAGAGGGAAATCATTCAACTTAAACAAAAAATAAACATGGCATATATAATTTAAAAAAAAAATAAATTCTAGGGTTTATTTAGAATATTTAGTCACTTTAATAATACCTTAAGGGAAAATTCTATAAGAACTTTATCAAAATTCTAGACAGTTCCACACCTATGTACTACGAGAATAAATTTGTAACAGGTAGCTCACAAGGAAAGGTCACATAGAAAGATTTCTTCCTGTGCTGCATAAACACAGATGTGATATCCCTCTTACTAGCGATCTGTTCCAGCCAATGTATACTAGGTTTGAAGCCTAGATTAAGAAAGTGACTGACCTTGCAGGTGGACCAGTGTCATCATCTTCAGATTCTTGATTTCCTTCTTCATACAAAGAACTACTGTCCTCATCGCTGTCTGATGATTCTGAACTACTGCTTTTATAATTAGGAGGTAGAGCTGGTCCTGCAACTAAAGATTTCTTGTGTATGTCATAACTAGCCACAACTGTTAAAACAAACCCCTAGTTGACATTTTATACTTTATTTTCTGAAGTCAGAGCACTGGCTGGCTATCATTTATTATGGACTTTAATCTCATTTACTCCTGTTTTGTGTACAGTGGTTTTGTCTTTCCAACTCCAGGAAGGCAAAAATCATGTCTTACACAGTATAACTGTGAGATTTACAACAACTTTCATACCCAAACTCATTCAACCATGGTAGAATGGAACCTTCCTTGCTAAAATAAAAGTCTTATTTTTTAACATTATAACAAAGGAGATCTGGAAGGAAACCTCAAGGTCAGTGACTTTCAGCTGATTTGCCTCAAGAATTTTTAAAACATGCAATACTTGACTATTTAGGAGCACTGACCTCTTTTCCCTTAGATTGTCAAATTTAAAAAAAAAATGACAACAGCCAACACAATAATAGCCGTCCAGCGTGAGTGAATCAAAATTATATCTATTTTTTTTTGTCAGGTCAGCAAAACATACATATTTTGGTGTGATATAGAATTTTAGTAATTAGTTTATGTGTGCTATGAGATGAAGAGGTTGAAAATCGCTGCTCTAGGTGGAAACATGGCCTCTGGGTAGTCGAAGAACGAAAGATAGACTAAGAAATGGGAGAGTTACTCTTTCAGCTTTATTCTTTTCCAACTTTGGTGTTAGTCCCAGCCTACAAATTAGAACAAACATTAAAGGAGATAGATAATGCATGTGCATGGAGGAGTCTGAGAAGCATTTAAGTGGCAAATATGAAGTGCCGACTGTGTGTTAAGACCAGAAGACCATAGCGTAATGTTGGAGACAGATAAGCCAACATACTATTCAAAAACATTGTATTAAATATGTTATGTAATTACGTAGGGGAAAAAACCATGGGTAAAGAGGAAGGCATGACAATATTTGAGAGTTTTGGAAAGGCTTCACTGAGGTGACATTTTAAGTTGGGCCCTCCAGGGTGGGGTAGGAGTTTGTCAGGAATGTCAAGAAGTGCACAGTAAAGCCAGAAGAAACTTCTCTAAGGAACTGACAGAAACTGTAACTGGTTTGAGCTCTGGGCAATGTGTGTGTCAGATGCAATGATAGAACTAGAAGCTAGGAAGGCAGGTCAGGCTAGAGAGGAAAGCATCTTCTCCAAGAGCCAGGCATTGTATATCAAAAGGCAAACATAGAGCACCCGCTTCATTCTACATAGGGGTCCCCCAGTTACAGGCCGTGTGACCTGGGCAACAGGCTGAGCCTCAATGTCTCCACTTGTAACATGGAAATATGAACAAAAAAGGGGCTAAGTACTAACAGTGACAAGCTCAGTGACCAAAAGTAACCACACAGGAGGGTCTGATCACAATTTCCTAACGGACAGGTCACAACGTGTAGTTCCCCACGCCTAGCAAAGATCAATCTTTACCTTAAGTGAGCCCTGTCCACTGTTCTTATGCATCTAGGATAACATACCTTTAAAATATCAAGAGTAACCTAGACCCCTCAAAGGCCCAATTGCAGGCACCAGAGCACAGGACCACCGGCGGCTACAGAACCCCGCAATGTTATCTGGTTCTTTAAATACTATGTTTATGTACTGTAAATGTTAATTAACAATCCTGTTAACAACTCAGCCAAGTAAAATAAGTATGTGTTTCTTCACTTGTTTTTTATTCAGTCCTAGCGATTTCCCCGCTTTGCTTCCCACACCCCTTCCCCCACCCTTAATCTACCACCAGTGGATTTCATGTACCTTCCTTACGTTTTCTCCTTTGATTCTAAATACATAAAAGGAACTGCAAACCTGCCATTCTCCAGAGCATTTTCTCAATCCGTTGAGATCTTGTTTCAGGGCATGTCTAGAAAAATTTGGCTTAAAAAACCTCTCATAAAACTTTTTTATAGGTTTGGACGTTCTTTCCTTGACAGCAAGACTAATCTCTACCTTACACAGTTGCTAGGAGGATTAAATGATTGAGTACAGTGTATCGACAATTTCGTACAGTTTCCAGTCCATTTAACGCTAAATGGGAACACATCATCATTGTAATAACTAACAGGCCGAAAATAGTTTCGAAGGCCTCCGCAGCCTCCCCGCTTCCACTGCTATGGCTTGGAAAGGACAGTTAGCTTGGGTCGCCCGCGGCCACACCACTTCCGTACCTTCCAGGCCTCACACTTCTATTCACAGAGCAAGGCTGGGCCAGAGAAGGGGCAGGAGGGCCTGGCAGGCAGAAGACGCGCCGCGGCTTACCCGGGCTGGGGTCCCGCTCCTCGTCCTCCGATGTCCCCAGGGCCTTGAAGCCTGGCGGCAGGGCTGGCCCGATCAGATCCCTCGCCATGCGCGGTGGCGGGTACTATCACTCCTGCAAGTGTATCCACACCACCTACCCCGCAAACAGCCCGCGATCCGTCGCAAATGCTGGAAGTTTTTCCGGCGCTGACCAATGACACTTCAGCCTGTGGTTGGCTGATCCGTGTGATTTGCGATAGCGGAAGTGACGCGTAAGGCTGCATCCACATTCACACGCTGGGTTCCCTACCTGGCAGGCGGCATGGCAGAATCCGCTGGTGGTTTCGTGGCTCCCAAGGGGTGGTTTTCAGCTCCCGAGCTGATCCCCACGTTGGGGCCTCTGAGCAACACAGCCCCGGCGCCGCACAATTGGATGCTCTGGGCCATGTTGCCGCCCCCGCCACCGCCTTCGTCGTCGCCTTCTGCGGGAGGGTCACAGCCTTGCCCGGAGGCACAGCCCCCGGTGGAGACCCCGGCGCTCTCCGAGGCGCCTCCCGGCTTCGACACCCAGACTCTTCCCGGGGTTCAGTCCCTTTTCGACACCCAGTGCCGCCTCGATTCTCAGCCTCAAGTCAACGGCCAGGCTTCCTGGAACTTCCAGTCTTCAACATCATGGCCCTGGAGACAGTCTCCTGGTAGTTTCCCTTGGCATCAGAAATCCCAGGACACTCCGGGTAGGCTGTTATTCCTCTCCGTGGCACGCCCCCTTTTCTTTACCCGTCTCGTTTTTCTTTTCTTTTTTCCCTCTCCACCTTGGACTTTGCGCTGCACTCTTAGAGTCTGGTCATTATTGTCTCATAATTTGAGAAGAACGTGTTCCTTGTCCTTTCGTCCAATTTAGCAGTTATTGAATTCATGTGTCAGGACTGGGACTATCGTAGTGAACAAAACATACGAACATTCATATCTTTATGGAGCTTAACATTTGCTGATGTAGGAAGACAGACAAAATGAAAGTGTGTAATAGAAGGCAATGAATGGTATGGAGGGAGATAAAGAATAATGATAACTAGTGCACTTCTAAATGTTTTTGTCAGTTCTAAGGAAGGTGACATTTGGGCCAAGACCTCAGGGAGGTGATGAATCAGGTCTATGGATACATCTGGGAGAATAGAGGTACAGGCAGAAGGAAGAGCAACTGCAAAGGCTTTGAGGCAGGAGCTATAGATCAGAATGGAAGCCAGCATGGCTGAAGAGAACTGAGCCTAGAGTAGAATTGTAGCAAATTGGGGAAGAGGGGAGACCTGTGAGGGCCTTGTAGTTTGATGGGACTTTGATTTTTATACTGCAGGGGAATGACGTGACTTGAGTTATGTTTTGAAAGGATTAATGTGGCTACCAATGGGAAGTGAATGAAAGTGAGGCCAGTTTGGAAGTTACTGCAGTTCTCTAGTGAGAAATAGTGGGGATTTTGACCAGGGTGGAGCTTAGGAGGAGATGAGAAGTAGTTGGATTCTAGATATATTTTGAAGGCAGAGTAGGCCCAAAACGATCTGCTGAAGGATCAGATAGGGGGTGTGAGGCAAAGAGGAGATAGACTAATTCAAAATTTTTTGCTAAAGAAGTGGAACGATGTGGATGGAGCAGATTTGGAAAGAAGACCAGGAGTTGAATTTGGTATATGTCTGTCAAGTATCAATAGAAATGTTGATTCAGCTGTTAGCTATATTGAACTTATGGGGAGATTTGTGGCTGGAGTTGTAAATTTGGGTGTTATCAGCATATAGATCATACTTGAAGGCATGAGATTATCGGTCACCATTTTCCAGTTCTGCATAAGATTCAGTTTAGATTAAATTGAATCTAAACCAGTGTTTACTGTGTGCGAAATGCTGGGGATATAAATGTGCCTGAGGCAGTACTAAGTCAGGTAAGATGTGTTCGTAAATGTAAATCACAGTACAGTGTGAGTGGTAATGAAGGCATATAAAAAGTGCTTTCAGAGTTTTGAGGAGTTGGGAAGAGGTTTTGGATTTGCATCTTGGGAAATGTTTAGGAAGAGATACTTTTTAGGTAGAGGCAAAGAGGTCGCAGTACAAGGTGAGCCCTGAAGATGCCTTGTTCTAGTATGATTCAAGCAGAGTATGTGGAAGGTACGGGGAAGGAGTAAGAAAATAAACCGGGATCTCATTGAAGGACTGGGGAGCCATTTGCAGATTTTGAGCAGGGCTGTGACAGTTGGAGGATTGTTTTCGTGGTGTTGGTGTGCTGGGTCTGTTGGAAGAGAGGGCTTAGAAACGGAAACAATTGGGAGGCTGCCCCAGTAGATCAGGATTTCAGAGTTGGATTATGGCAGTAAGAAGGGAAAAGGATTTGAGAAAAAATGTGTTTCGCAAGGATATTTTCCTGGTGTAAAATTGATGTTGAAAGAGCTGTATTAGGGGTTTTACTGTTTATTGGTACATTTCTAATGTTTGAAACAACTAGAAGAAATTGTATCAGATTAACTTGTTCATTGCTTAGATGCCTGAAGCATCTGTGGACACTTAATCTTACCACTATGTATTAATTTGAAAAATACTTATTTGGTAGACTATTCTTAATTTTTGGTAATAATTCAAGCAGTTTTTACTCAAGTATTTGTGACATGCTATAGCAAATAAAAATTTAAATAATTGTTTAGTAGTAAACATTTATGGATCTCTTTTTGTTTTTCAGTTAAACATTCTTATTTTCCACAAAAATATGATGCAAAGCTTACTGACTTCAACTTCCCTCCCAGTAGAAAACATAAAAAAAAGGTACTTTAGAAGATGTTCTTGAATGTAGCACTTTGGTACTAGAGTGTAGCCTATGTTACTATCTCATATCTTGTGCTTCTATCATAATTCTCTCAGTGTTTTATATACATTATTGACACAGTGGAACCTTGGTATATATAATAGGATCTTTAAGGATCTTAGCTGTAAGTGAAAATTTCAAGGGAAATCTTTTTGAGAAATAAATGGAAAAATCATAGAAAAAGGAAACATTGAATTCATTTCAATATAGTAAATTGTTATTTAGTAAATGTTATTGAGAATTATAATTGCAGATAAATGAAGATGTTTTAAACCTCAACAAAGTAAATAATAAATAACAAATTATATATATATTATTAGAAGATTGGGAGAAGGGATAGAATTAAAGGTCTTTTGTTTTTTTTGTTTTTTTTGTTTTGAGGAAGACCAACTCTCGTTTATATTCAGAGACAAAGTCTTAAAATGGACTTACTTTATCTGATGTAGTTTACTATCTGGTCTCTCACCTTTTAAAGTATGTAAATGTCATTAGTTTAGAATAAGTTGAGTAAGATTATTTTGGCATGAAAATATATACCTAATATTAACAAAATATTGTGAAGCTGTACTGTATTTATTAATATTTCAACATAAACTATGGAATTTATCATATTTAAGATAATAGAACAAATTGGGAATAAAAAAATAATCGTTACCTAAATAATTTTTTCCCTTCTGTAGTTTTATTTATATATAGTTATATATATAGTTTTTTATATATATGTCTTTTTCCAAAAGATGAAATGCTGTTTTTACACCGAGTGTTTATTTTTTTAGATCATCTTGATGTATGCTCTACTAAGTCTTAATTAGATTACCACTTTGCAGGCTACTCACTATATTAGCTCTACTCAGATTAAAAAATTTTTTTGTGTCTGGTGTTTCCTAATATGTTTGCTTAAAATAAAAGAAAAAATAAGAGACAGAATTATACCTTCATTAAGAGTGTCCTTAGGAGTGTCCCCCACATATAAGGGTTATGTGAAAAATCAAAGTATGTATTACCAGAAGGATAGTTATATTTTTATTATTGATTAAAGATTTTTCACCAGAAGCCTAATGCCTCTTTATTTTTGTTTGCAGAAAAGAAAAGAACCAGTTTTTCACTGTTTTTGTGATACCTGTGATCGTGGTTTTAAAAATCAAGAAAAGTATGATAAACACATGTCTGAACATACAAAAGTAGGTTTTCTTGGTTATCCTATGATTTATTTAGGAAAATGGATATATTTGGTAGAAATTCTGAGCTTCTTTTCCTAAAGTTTATAGTTCATAGAAATGTTGGATGGCTTGACAAATTGGGACAGTGACCCTGGATTTGCAGCTTGAGGGTAGGAGCCCTCTGCTTCAGGAAGAGGTAAGATGGTGGTGAAGAAGGAAGGTCTGGCTGCTGTTAGTGTATGTGGGCCTCCTCTGCCTCGCGAGGGGGCTGATTCCCCTCTCCAATTGCTCTGTGCGCCTTTGTAAGCTCTTTTTCCTGTAAAGCTGCCCTTGACCATTTAACCACACTGTGTAATTTGCCATGGCCCATCACATTCTAAGAGTGGTCTGGATCTTATTAAGTACTTAATATCTTTAACAAGCCCTGGCCCAGTGGCTCAGTTGGTTGGAGCATCATCCTGGTGCACCAAGGTGCCAGCCAGTTCAGTCCCCTGTCAGGGCACCTGCAGGAATCAACCAGTGGAAGCATGGAGAAGTGGAGCAATGAATTGGCATTTTCTTTTCTCTCCCTTCCTTTCTCTCTAAAAACCAGAGTATTTGAGAAATAAAGTTATAAAAGAAAGTCCTTAGTTTGGAAAACGTTTTTTTTTTCAGGTTATATTGGTAGAAATGCCCCTCACTTTTAGGAATAAAGAACATTTTACAACACCGAAAGTAAATAATATGTATTACTGTACTATATGCTTTGAAAATGTCATTTCTTTTTAAATTCAGCTCTGTTTTGGACTGACTTTTGTTTTGCTATTGATATAACTATGCAGTGGGATAACTATGTAATATGACCAGAATGCGTCTGTGTATGTAGTAATAGGGTTTATTTAATATGGAAAACATTGAATCGTCTTTTTTTTGTCGTTGTTAACTCTTACAGTGTCCTGAAGTAGATTGCTCCTTTAGTGCACACGAGAAGATTGTCCAGTTCCATTGGAGAAATGTAAGTTCTTGTGCGGTTTTCTTTTTTCTTTCTTTTTTTTTTTTTTTCAATATAGGCTCTTACTTCATCGCTCTGTTATCTTCTATAGCTCTTCATTTATGTAGCCTAACAAGAAGTGACATTCATGCAGTACTTTGTGCTTTGATAGGCATTCTTATATTTATTGCTCAATTATATCCTCACAAACCAACCATGTAAAGTAGGTAAATACTGGCCCTGTTTAACAGATAAAATAGTGATTTGCCCAGGGCCTCAGAACTGATTCTTGCGTTTGAGAGTTTTTTTATTCCAAATTCTGTGGTGGTTTTTCTGCACCATGCTGCTTCAAATAGATTTGTGTAGTCATTATTTCTTTAGGTACTTCCCTCAATTTGGTTGTTAGGTCGTTAATTTGAGTATTTAATGTTAGTTGAAAAGTGGGTGATATATGTACTTTGGAGCCAAAATTATGTTACTCCTTTTTATTTTACCAATAGCACTAATTTAAATATATAGGAAATTATTCTTTATTTTTTTAAGGAAAAATCATAATAAGGGTGGGTAAAACCTGTTTACATAGTTTTAAACTTTTGGCTATAGAGTCTCCATTATCCCCCATAATGCTTGAGATTTAGTCAAAAGCATAAATATGCTTCCTGATGTTCAGCATGCTTTTTTTCCCTAGATGCATGCCCCAGGTGTGAAGAAGATCAAGTTAGACACTCCAGAGGAGATTGCGAGATGGAGGGAAGAAAGAAGAAAGTGAGTAAAGAATTTAGACCTAATGAAATAGCTTTCTTTTACTGTTGCAAGGCTGAGAACTTGAAAATAATGACTTCACTAAAACTGGTGCTTCTAGAAAATCATACCTTCCTTGTCTGGTGAAGTTCTGCTCATTGCTTTAGCCCATCTGAAACCCTGCCAGTCTGGGGATAGTTGCATCTGCCTTCAGGACTATCTTGCCCTTCTTTGAATACGGTATCTCGTATCTGCTCTGCCTCTTTAACATAGATGCCCCTTATTGTGGTCCTATTGATGAACTTTGCATATGTATCTTTTTAAAAAAAATATTTATAGGCTTTACAAATGGAAGAACCATCTTTTATATGGCTCTTTATAGCCCATGGAGCAATAGATATAAGGGATCTTATAAATGTTTATACATATAAATAGAGCTTGGAAATATTTTTATTATGTGTGTAATCCTGTTTTGGAACATTCAGTTAAGTGGTTGGAGAAATCCTGCTGAGACTCATTTCTAATTTATGTTTTAAATTAAACCTATTGTTTTTAAAGAAATGAGGTAGAACTATGTTCTTATGATTAATATTATGGTAGTAGATTAGTAGTATAACTAATACTAATTAAACTGCTATGGTTTTGAACGTTAATTCTGACTACATTAGACAATGACAGAGACAAATCAAACTGTATTCGAACGCAACACTTTCTGAAGTAGCTTTCCCCATAGGAATGTGAACTATGCCCCCTTGTGGTGTTGTGCAACTAGTGCTTTAATGGAAAAAAAATCTAATGGCTAGAGAAACTTAAGGAAGCAAACTGATTTAGGTAGCATGTGTTTATATAAAGTCCCTGGTAGAAGATTAGTTTGATTTTCTAATGTTTGTGAGAAATCTCAGCAACCTTCACATTTATGTTAATGTGTGTTACGATATCTTTGAATAACTTCTTGACTTTTAATAACTTCTTTGAATAGTTTAGCTTGAAAATTAGAAGTAACCATTCAGTATTTGAAAAGGCAAAGATTTTACCATATATGTCCAAGATCACCAAAAGCAGATAGGAGTAGACTCCTTCCTTTAATACTCTCTCTCTAATATGAGTAGGATAAATAAATATATGTGATGTGGCCATGAGACCATAAACAACTGAAGTATTATGTTTAATCGTGTAAAGATAATAATGTCTGGTCAAGGGGCGCAAGGAGTCTTAGGAAGGCAGAGCCATCAGTTCATTTTGAAAGGCTTCTTGTAAGAGGTCGTGCCTGCCACCTCCGCTCCATTTAAGATATGTTATATGTGCAGTGAAATTCATCCCTTTAATACATAGTTCTGACAAATGTACATAGTTGTGTAACCACCACAGTCAAAATATAGAATAGTACTGTATCACCCCCAAAATCCCTTCATGCCCTTTGTGGTAACTTCTCCTCAGCCTTCAGTCCCTGACTACCACTTATCTGCTTTCTGTTGTTTGTGCTTTTGCAGAACATCATATGAATGGAATCATACAGTCTAGCTTTTGAGTCTGACTTTTTCACTTAGCACAGTGGATTTGAGATTCATGTCTCTTGTTGGATGTAGCAGTAGTACATTCCTTCCTATTGCTGTTTTTCTGTCCCATGTGGATGTGCTATATATGAATATACCACAGTTTGTTCATCCATTTCCCAGTTTAGGGACATTTGGGATGTTTCCAGTATTTGATGATTACGAATAAAGCTATCATAAACATTGGTGTACAGGTTTTTGTTTAGACTAGAGCATGGGTTTTTATTTGACGTGGGTAAATATCTAGGGGTAGTATTGCTTGATCAATGATAAGCATAGTTTAAGTTTATCAGAAATTGCCAAAGCTTTTAGGAGGTAAGTTTTAAAGTCAAGATACGCCTAGTTGACATGGAAAGCATTCTATTACTAGGTGCAGTGGCGCTTGCATCTGTTAAGGTTGTGCTCCAGTAAATGGAATAGCAACCTTACTATACTGTGGCTTAGCATAAAGAAGTTTATTTTTCCCAAGTAGAAAAAGTCCAGAGCTGCTGTTCCAGCTCAGTGTCACCATTAGGTACAGGTTCTCTCTCTCATTGCTCCTTGGTCTGTGGTTTCATTTTTGTGTCCACCAGAAGATTCCCACATATCCAAAATGAATACTAAGTGTACATTCTAGACAGGGAGAAGAGAAAAAGGCAAAAGGCACACATAGCTGAATTTGCCACTTTGCATTAGGAAAACAGTAGCTTTGTTTTCCAGGAGACTTCCACATAGCTCTCATTGAAGTAGGTTGTTAGGCCACCTTTAGCAGCAGCAGAGTTGATGGAATATCCCCAAACAAAATTGTTAAGGAAAAGGGAAAACATTTGCCTCAGAGCTGGGTGGGAAAGTTTAAAACAAGTCAAACTTGGAAGCAGCTCTATCCTGAATGAAGGGGAGACAAGCAAGTGGTTAGTATGCTTATCTTTTTGTGTGGGATAGATGGGGGCAGCAGGGAGAGAGGGTCTAGTTGTAGTTTCTAGAATGTAGGCTGCAGGTATGACTATGACAGTGGGTAGAATAACTTGGAAGAAGACTGGGCAAAATCTGTGGAGTGAATAAATGAGGTTACAGGTTTGTGGAATTATGAAATGGTTAAAGAGAATGAGAAAATTGGGTGAGTTTGACAATTTGGAATGAAGTTTATTTGTACCTATGATATTGCCTTGTTAACATAGTGTTCTGGAATTATCTTCTGGTGCTTGCTGAATTCATATGAAATTCTTCCATACCTTGTTTTTCCAGTTCTTGTTCTTTAACATATTTGGACATTATAAGTTATATTAATAATGAACATTATTAATAAAATATATGAGAAACATTTCTTTTGGCACATTTGATAGGTATCTCAAAATACACTAACATTCTCTCCACTAGCAGTTTATTTAAAAAACGTATTGTGAAAATATATTTACTTTCTAAATTTCTGTCACCCTCAATTTTTTTTAATCCTTACCCTGAGGACATGCTTATTGATTTTAGAGAGAGAGGTAGGAAGGAAGGGAAACACCTATCAGTTGCCTTTCACACATGCCCCTAACTGAACATCAAACCAATAACCTAGGCACGTGCCCTGACCAGGAATTGAAATCATGACCTTTCAGTTTATGGGACAATGCTCCAACCAACTGAGCTACCCGGCCAGGGCTGTTACCCTCAATTTAAAAAAAAAATTATTTTTGAGCCCTGGCTGCTATGGCTCAGTGGATTGAGTGCTGGCCTGTGAACCAGAGGGTCACAGGTTTGATTCCTGGCCAGGGCACAAGCCTGGGTTTTGACCATGTTCCCAGTTGGGGGTGTGCAAGAGGCAACCATGCATTGATGTTTCTCTCCCTCTCTTCTTCCCTTGCCCTCTCTCTAAAAAGAAATAAAATCTTTTAAAAAATATTATTCGAACGCCTACAAAAGTAAATTTCACGTCAATACAGCAAAATAATCCATATAGTAAATTTTATCTTTCTTGTGAGAGCTATGTTCTTTCTGAAGAAGCCACTTTATTTTTTGACATGCAGGAGAGTTAAAACATGCAATGTTAGAAAATCTTGAAAAAGATTTTTCATGGAGTAAGAATTTTAGAGCTGGAAGAAAATGCTAAAGATTTGCTTGGTGTATTGCTCCTTTAAAGAAAGTATATCTTTGCCTTTATTCCTTCATCTTTATTTTTTTCAGACTAGCCAAGTTGCATTTAATTTAAAACTTTGAGGCTTCCCACTAATAATCTGGGGGGGGAAAATCCACCAAAAAGACAAAAAGAAGCAGTTCTTAATTCTGAGATGTTATATGATTTGGCATTTGGGAAAATGAGTGATTAGAGGTTTGTTTCCAAAAACCTCGATTTTAGGACCATTGAGACATGTTTTAGAGCAGATGGGAGTCCACTAGGTGGAGTAGTTTTGTGATACTTATTTCGGTAGTTGCAGTGGCTCTTAGGAAATCCTTTGAAATTGTGTTCCCAGTTCTTTTGGAATTCCAACAAAGGGGTCTGCTTCTAAAGAATGCTACATCTTTTTGAAGTTCAGAAGGACTTTGAAATAAAATACAGTAGTAGGGCTTGTGTTGAAGCAGTTGTGGTCTAGTGAGAGTAAAGAGGCATTGTTTCTATAGAGAACAGGCTTAATGGGAGAAGTCATGAAGTGGGTGGTGATTCAGGTATAAGGAAAGAGTTAGAAAGTATGATGTAACCAAAAGGACATTTGGTAAGATCATGGGTGGCACAGTTTTGCCTGTTTATTGGCTTTAGTGCTCAAGCAAGGGGAAGGTAAAGAGATGAGATGAAATGAAAACAGCAAGAAGCCAGAAAGAAAAAGAGCTTATGGTTTCAGGGCCAGTTCCTCTTGGGGTATTGGGGTGGAAATACAGCAAGCAAAAGCAATATTAGAAGATAAAAATAGAGAAACCAACTGTGAAAATATCACTGTCCTAGTCTTTATAACTTCATAATATACATTTTCTAACAGGAGATATTGGGCTAAGTTATCTGTATGAAATTATGCAGTGTAAGATAATTTGAGATTTTTTTTTTTTCAACAGTCTTTAAATTGGTTATTTCAGTTGTGCTTTAGGAACCTCACCTGTGACCTTTATCAAAGCTCCAGGCTCTGTTCTTGAATCTCAGTATTACGTTGAGGGACAGGCTTTCTGACTGCTGTGTGTGTAACTGTCTTTTATCTGGTATCCCTGTTTTGAGATCATTTGCTTTTTGATACCCTTGTTTTCCTTAGTTTTTAAGTCTCTAGGTTCTGTGTAATTAAGTATGATACAAATTTTGGGCCAAGATTTTATTAATTTAAGCACTGAAAAATAGAATTTTATAGCTTTGCAAGGGATATTGAAAGATCCTTTACCTTCAGGAAAGTGATACTTTTATCTGCCAGAAAGAGAAAGTGAGCTGTTTTAAAAGGCTTCCACCAAAGGAGTTTCTCCAACTTTCTTGATATCTTGCATAAGGAATTCTTTTTGCATTTCACCTATAATCCACTTGCTGTAACAGATATTTACATTCTTTATTATTGAGAAGCACTTAAGTAGCATCTATTTGAGCGTACATGGTACACAAGAGTACCAGATCTTATTGTTTAGCATATGGCCTAACATGTTAAGGGTCTGCGGTACTCAGAAGAAAAATGTTGAAGAAACCTAAGTAGTATGAGTAAGTGAATTTTAGAGATGTGAAGGTTGCTGAGTAGCTGTGAGTCACACGCCTAGACATTGGGACCTGTGAACATCATCACTTTTTTTCTCATCATTTCTGCTTTTGCATAGTCTGTCTTCTGATTGAGAACAGCTGGCTACCATTCTCTCTATGAGATCATTATTGTCACGTCTCTTCCTCTTTTAAAGGCCACGATAGTTCCAGTTCTTTTTATCTTTCGTCAGAGGTTTTGTTTTTCATCCTGCTAATCATCTTTGAGTTTCTTCTGAATCCCTTCCAAGTTTTATTTTTTCTCAACCCTCCTTTTCAATTTAGAAATACGAAACTGGACACAGTGCTCTGAGAATTTCTGACTATTGAGCATCGTGAGAGGAGACTTCACACTTGAACATGTGCCAGAGTCTATTTCACATAATCTTAGATTATGTTTGCTTTCCAAAAGTATAGTTTTACAGTAGTCAGGTTTTTTTAAAAATATTTTTTCAGAGAGAGAGGAAAGGAGGAAGAATGAAAGAGAGAGAAACATTGATGTGAGAAAAAAAGATTGATCTGTTGCCTCTCCTACGCTCCCTGACCAGGGGTTGAACCCGCAACCTAGGCACGTGCCCTGACTGGGAATCGAACTGTTGACCTTTTCTTTGTGGGACGACACCCAACCAAGTTACGCTGGGTGGGGCTGGCTGTCAGGTTTTTATCTCCTTGTGACCTTGATCTTTTCCTCTTACGTTTATTTATAGCTTGTGTATTCATCATGTTTTATTCATGGAATTTATTTTTCTTGGCTGAAGAGATTGGTTTGCATTGTCCTTATTGAAATTTATTGCCTTTTTTCTGAGTACTTCACCACTTAATGTCATTTCAATTCTTATCTTCCAACTTGACCAACCAATAGGCTTCATATTGTCTGTGCTATTCAAGTCAGTAATGCAGGTGTTAAAAAAAAAAAAAAAAAAGATGGAGGTAGAAACAATGCCCTAGAAACAATGGCAGAACAAGATTTGTTGATGTTTCTTAAAATTTACTCCAATGAGCAGCCCAGCTGAGTGGTAGAGACCTGTCTGTGTTTCTCTCCTTTTGTGCTGTTTATGCTTCTGAGATCCATTCTCCTCCCCACCAGAGTTTGGTGCCTGCATCCGTGCACAACTGTGCAAAGGAACAAGGAAAGCTTTGTCAGAGCATTTTATCTTGCTTGCTACTGTTGGATTTAATCTTAATCACTGCCTTGTATGTATCTCTCCTTGTTCATAACTTGCAGTGGCTCCCCATCTCCACTGAGTTAAATATAAACTTTCTAGTCTTCCATTCAAAGCACATTTTGGTCTCAGCCTCCCTTTCTAGTTTGACTGCATGATGTGTCATGCATAATGAACCACTTGTCATTCCTTGGATCTATCATACTTTCTGAGGCCTTGGTTTGTCTGCAATGTTTGTACTATTTGAACACTCAAAAGCTTTTCTTTCTGATTTCTGTCTATTAACACCAATTAAGACCAATTTTTTTCATGTTCCTTTTTTTTTTTTGGATTTTTTCCAGCTCAATATGATCTTTCCTCTCACTCTCCAATCTTTATGTTCTTTGGGGTAATTGACTGTATTTTGCCATTTGTTTAAGTTGTTTGCTTGCTTTTCTTATCCTTTCTGGTAGACTATCTTTTTTGAAAACAGTCTGTTCCTCATCTTGATAATTTTGAATGTACCTACTATGTATTTGCATAACTAATTGCATAGATTTATATTTTTCTTACAGTATTTATGGGTATGTACCACCAAATGGATGAATTGGATCAGCTAAGCACATTGTATGATATATTCAATTAAATTCTAGTGTAAAGCTCCTTACCTACTTACAGACTGGCAGCAAAATTTGTGGACTTGCAGCTGGTCTACACTTTGAGTAGCATTGTTCTGGTCTACAGCTTTCCCCTTAAGATTCTAGAAGGGATTAAGTATTTATATAAATTTTATACAAAGGTTTATATAAATTATGATTTACACTATTAGTCATTAAACAGAAGTTGCTAAATGCAGCAATTGCTTGATTATGTAATTAAAGTTGTATTCTGAAAGCCTTTTTATAATTTTTTTGATTTTGCTTTGTAGAAACTACCCAACTCTGGCCAATATTGAAAGGAAGAAAAAGTTAAAACTTGAAAAGGAAAAGAGAGGTGAAGTATTAACAACAACACAATATGGGTGAGTTCCTTAAAATTACTTACATTCTCAATACTTATTTTAAACATGTATACTTATGAATAATAAAAAGAAAAAAATAATAAAAAGAGCATACACCAAAACCTTAGTCTCTACACCCCCAATTCTAAAATCCTTGCTTCTGTAATTCTTTTACTGGAACATTTTAAAATAATCAATGCCCTATATTTGTATGATTTTTCAAAAAGATTTGTAATTAAGAAGTCTTTACTTTTTTGTTTCCTAGCTAAACAGTTCTCCTTCCCAGAGACAACCCATTTTATCTTTCCAGAGATATTCTATATGTATATAGCATCTATATAATAACTTTTTTACTTCTTTTTTTGATACTATTCTACACCTTGGTTTTTTAGCCACATAACATACTTGGATATTGTTTTATATTAATACATAATAGGTCTCATTCTCTAAGGATGTGTTGGAAGCTTAAGGATATACTCTGGGGCTCTTTTTTTTGTACCTTTTGACAGACATTTAAATTCTTACCAAACTTTTACTAATAAAAAGTTGCCAGTATTGCCCTATACATACATTTTACACATGTGCAGGTATTTCTGAGGATGAATTCCTAGAAGTGAATTTGCCAAGTCAAAAGATAATATGTATGTGTATTTGTCATATTGATAACTAACTGCCTAATATTTATCATAGAAGCTGTTCTAGTTTACTCTTCCATTAGCAGTGTACGAGACATCCTATTTTCACTGTCATTCACCTTCATAGAATTTTTTTCAGTTTATATTTTTCTTGAAATACATTTTTAAACTAAGTAAAATAGACAAAGCTTAAATGTATTTGATGCATTTGTGCAAATACATATACATACACCTACAAACCCATGCAGCCTCCACACAGATTAGTAAAACAGTCATGTGCTGCCTAACTGTGTGTTATGCTCTGAGAAATGTGTTGTTAGGCAGTTTTGTCATTGTGTGAACATTACAGAGTATACTTATGCAAAGTAGGATGATATGGACTACTACATACCTAGGCTGTATCATATAGCTTATTGCTTCTAGGCTACAAATCTGTATAGCATGTCAGTACTGAATATCGGCAGTTGTTAACACAATGGTAAGTATTTTATGTCTAAACATAGAAAAGGTACAGTTTCAAAGATTTAAAAAAGTGGTACTCCTGTATAGGGCACTTACTGTGAATGGACCTTGATGGACTGAAAGTTGCTCCGTGTGAGTCAGTCAGTGAGTGATGAGTGAATGAAAGCCTAAGACATTACTGTATACTACTGTATACTTTATAAATTTATAAAACAACATGAGATGAAATTGTGCACACAAGAAAATGATACCATTGAAATGCAGTAAACACAAATGTGTGAGGTTGGCTACTAGTGTAACAGCATACTGTTTTACAGCAAACTTTTTTTCTAAGTAGAAAGTACGTTCTAAAAATAATGAAAAGTATAGTATAGTAAATACATAAACCAGTATCATTGTTTTTTTACCATTATCAAATATTATGTGCTGTTTATAACTATATGTGTATAAAATTTCATGTGACTGAGAACACAGTAGGTTTGTTTACCCCAACATCACCACAAACAAGTGAATAATGAATTGTGCTATGATGTTAAACAGCTCTGATGATGGAAATTTTTCGGCTCCATTATAATCTCATGGGACACTTGTATGTGCAGTCTGTCATTGACTGAAATGGTGTTATGCAAGTGCATGACTGTACAGAAAGTCTTCACCTCACAAAGTTCTCTTATGCCATCCCTAGTTCAGTGCCTCCCATCAAAAGTAATCTCTTACCTGATTGCTGTCATCATAGATTTATTTTACCTATTCTTAGAATGTTATGTAAATGGAATCATCTATTATATACTCTTTGGTGTGTGATTTCTATAGCTCAGAATTATTTTGTGAGATTGATTTATATTGCATGTAGCTGTAAGTTGTTCATTCTTATAGCTGTATAAAACTGAATTGTGAGAATGTATATTTCCTTTTTTTTTTAAGATTTTATTTACTTATTTATTTATTTAGAGAGGGTAAGGGAGGGAGAAAGAGAGGGAGAGAAACATCAATATGTGGTTGCATTTCCCACACCCCCTGCTGGGGACCTGGCCTGCAACCCAGGCATGTGCCCTATCCTGGGAATCGAACCCGTGACCCCCTGGTTCGCTGGCTGGCCCTCAACCCACTAAGCCACACCAACCAGGGCAGAATGTATATTTTCTCACTGTGGGACACTTGGGTTGTTTCTAGTTTGGGCTGTTATGAATAAAGCTGCTATGAACATTCTTGTACATGTTTTTTGTAGATATGAGTACTTGTTTTCATTATACATATGTGCACACACATATACTAGGTCATAGAACATCTGTGTGTTTAGCTTTAATTGTGTTTAGCCAAACAATTTTTTAAAATGGTTGTACCAAATTATACTCCTGCTGAATCTGCATCTAATCATTCTATATCCTGGTTAGTGGTTGGTATTACACCTTTTCCTTCTGTATTACCATTTCCTCATGACTAATGTCAGACATCTTCTTATATGCTTATTGGTCCTTTTGATAATCTTTTGTGACATACTGGTTAAAGTCTTTGGCCAATTTTTTAAAAATTATATTTTATTGATTATGCCATTACAGTTGTCCCGGTTGTTACCCTTTGCCTGCCTCTACCCAGTGTCCACCATTCCCTCAGGTAGTCCACACACCATTGTGTAAGCCCTTGAGTCCTGTGTATGAGTTCTTTGGCTACTCCATTTCCAATATTGTACTTTACAACCCCATGGCTATTCTGTAACTACCTAATTGTACTTAATCTCCTCAACTCTTCACTCATTTTCCCACAACCCCCTCTCATCTGGCAACCATCAAAACACTGTATCCATGATTCTGTGTTCTTGTTAACTTAGTTTTTTAGATTCACTAGATAATGTATTTGTTGCCATTTTATCATTCATAGTTTTTATCTTTTTCTTAAATAAGTCCCATTAACATTTCATATAATGATGGTTTTGTGATGATGAACTTTAGTTTTTTCTGGTCTGGGAAGCTCTTTATCTGCCTTTTGATTCTAAGTGATAGCTTTGCTGGGTAAAGCAATCTTGGCTCGAAGTCCCTGCTTTTCATGACTTTGAATATTTCTTGCCAAGCTCTTCTAGCCTGTAAAGTTTCTTTTGAGAAATCATCTGACAGTCTTATGGGAACTTCCCTGTAGGTAACTAGCTGATTTTCATTTGTTGCTTTTAAGATTCTCCGAGTAAGTCCGTGTGTAGGTTCTGTATTTCCAGTTTATTGCTCTTTCTCTTCTCTTTCTGACACCCCTATGACATGAATGTTGGAATGCTTGCAGTTATTTTAGAGGCTGCTTACATTATCCTTGGTTTTTTTTTTTGAATTTTTTTTTTTTGGCATTTTAATTATGATGTGCCTTGGTGTGGGCCTCTTTGCATCCATCTTGTTTGGGATTTTTTTTTTGCTTCCTGGACTTTCATATCTATTTCCTTCACCAAATTATGGAAGTTTTCTTTCATTATCTTTTCAAGTATATTTCCAGTTTATTGCTCTTTCTCTTCTCTTTCTGACACCCCTATGACATGAATGTTGGAATGCTTGCAGTTATTTTAGAGGCTGCTTACATTATCCTTGTTTTTTTTTTTTGAATCTTTGTTGTTGTTCTGATTGGTTGTTCTTTTCTTTCTTATGTTCCAAATCACTGATTTGATTCTCAGCTTCATCCACTCTACTGTAGTTTCCCTGTAAATTGTTCTTTATTTCCATTAATGTGTCCTCTGTTTGTTACTGGATCTTTTTTATGCTATCGAGCTCCTCACTACATTCCTTGAGCATTCTTATAACCAGTGTTTTGAACTTTGCATCTGATAGATTGCTTATCTCCATTTTGTTTAGTTCTTTTCCTGGAGTTTTGATGTGTTCTTTCATTTGGGTCATGTTTCTTTGTCTCCTTATTTTGGCTCAGTCTCCCTGTGTTTGTTTCTATGCATTAGGTAGAGCTGCTTTGACTCGGTCTCTCTTGGTAGCATGGCCTAATGTAGTGGTGTCTTGTAGGGTCCAGTGGCACAGCCTCCCCTGTTACCCAGACTTGTTAGTTGAGGTGCATGCTTTTTATGGCCTGAGTGCACCCTCTTCTTATAGTTGAGCCATGATAGCTATTACCAAGTCAGTGGGAGGGATTTACGCTGGCCAGTCACCTGCAAGAACTGGCTGTGACCACTGACCACCAAATTCCACCCTCCATGAAGGATCAGCTGTGCAGGGGCAGGAAGGTGGTGTTCAGACGTGGTCTGTAGCTCTCCACTGGGTGCACAGGCTCTGCAGTTTCCCTGGTGGTGCAGGCCAAGGTCACCTCCCACCTGTGTTTTGCCCATACCCTGCCTGGGCTGTAAAGCAAGCTGTGATGGCTGCTACTTGTGCTGGGCTTAGAGATTTCCTGGTGAGGCCAAGCTATAAATCTAGGCTGGCTGCTGCCAGTGCCAGGCCTGAGGTCACTTAGCCAGAGGTATATGGGCTGGAGGGTCACTGAGGCTGGCTGTTGCTTGTTTGAGATGATTTAGAAAGTTGTGAAGCATGAGCCAAGACCAGCCATTCACATAGAAAAGCCTCTGTTAACAGCTTGGGTGGATCTGTAAGTGGGGCCGGACTGAGTCTCAGGGAATCTCTAGGGCAGGGCAAACAGTGTTAACCATGCTGATGGAGTTTCAGATCTGGCACTCACCCGCCAATTCTGTGGTACTGTAGGAGGATGGTGCAGAAAAGAGACAGTGGCCTCTGCCTGCCTTTCTGTTTGGGAAGAAAGCTGTCTCCCAGCTCCTACCTTGACTCAAGACACTAGTTCTACCACGTATGCCACTAGTGCCTCTCAAGCTGCTACCCTGATGCTGGGACTCAGAGGGAGTGAGTCCGAGTAAGTCCGTGTGTAGGTTCTTTAAGAGGAATTGCTTGGGAGTCCAACAGCTTTCTTCTAGTGACTCAATCCCTGCTGGTGTTT